GATGAAGGGTCTAGGCCCAAAACGTCAGCCTCTCTGCTCCTATGATGCTGCTTGGCCTGCTGTGTTCATCCAGCCCTGCACCTTGTTGTCTAGGTCTTTAATTATGTTTTTCAATTACTTCAACTGGAAGGCACATGGCAGTGATTATTATATTAATTTATCTTAATGTAGCTAAACACGTGAACATTCAACAGTCAGTATGATACTTGGCTCATCGAATTAACTTCAAATCAGTAAACACTCTTAGGTCTTGCATTCACATCACAACATGGAAATGGCGAAATAATTCACTTACCATTTTCTGCTGAGCTAATATTTTGTCCTTGTGTTGAAGATTTCATTCTAAAATATTTGTGGAAAATAGAAAATTGTAAGTTTTTCATGAGAATATTGTACTGTAATAATTATGACCTGGAACAGAAATTCTACTTAACTTGTTATTGCTAATGGAAACTGTTTATTTTAAAAGTGTAAAATACAAATTTGCTACTGGCTGGCCACAATCCATATTAGGAATATAGACCAAATACTTCAGGTAATGAGGGACTGAACAAATAAAATGATCAGAACATAAGGGCATGAATTGCATTATTTTAACCTACCATTTACGTTGTTACAACTAGTCAAGAATTAAAAAAAATGAAACTACTTAAATTGATGAAGTCTAGGAGATTCTTTTGAATCACAGTTTCAGTATTGGTGAGTTAAAATCATGTCATTGCATCAGCAACAGGAAATGAACTTTCCATTGAATTAAAATGAGCAACTAACAAAGACAAAGGTTTTTTCTTTGATGCAAAATATAAAACATCAACATTGCCGGTGTAAATGTGCTTTGCAATTGTCTATGATTGAAGTAGAAACATTAATCACCCCTTTTTTTTATCAACCTACATTACTTAAAATCACCTGGCCATGAAGAAAAATTGTAAATTTCAGGGAAAAAACTTATATACTATACTTACCTTTGTGATTTCATTTTGATTAACCATGCGCTGAGCCCACTGATAAAACCCAGGCAAAGCAGAACAGCAATCACTATGCCTACTATGCCGACAGTGTCGATTTTATCCCTGGAATTTAATTGATCTGAAAATGCAACAGGCACAAGTAATGAAGAATGGCATCATAAAATGGCCACAATTGCATCCTCTTGATCAAACAGTCACTTCATTTACAAACATGGCTAGCAAGACAGAAACATACCAGTAATGTCATTAGACCTGTAACGGGGAGACCAGCTAATGAAGTGAGAGTTGGTGACTGCTAAATTCAGTTTGTAAATCTCGAATATATATAGCTGGCTTCTGTCTTGGTGAACATACAACTGTTGTCAATTGTAAAAATCCTCTGGTTCATGAACATCCTTTATGAAACAGAGGCTGTTGTCCTTCATAGCTTGCCCTACATGTGACTCCTGGACTGTAGTAACTCTGGTTGACACTGAAATGCCTTCTGTAATGGGTGTGAAAGCTACACAATACCAGGACAACAAATGATGGCCTTTGCAGTGATGCCCACACTTTACAAAAAGTAAGAAAAAGAAAACTAACTTCAGTGAGCAACCTAGTTGTAGAGCTTCTGTGCACTTGGTAAAACCAGCTTTTTAATTTTTTCTTCTACAGATTTTACAGGCTGAAACAAGTGTTGAGTTGCTTTCAACGCAATCCCATAGTTGCTAACTAGAATTTCAAAACTCCAAAAAAAAAGAGGCTTTTACATCCTTTTTTTCATTCTGGAACATACTAATATGGTACCTCAGTTGCTCTGTATAAATTTCGCATTCTTTCAAATTCCATTCTCTGAGTCTTGCATTGGATTCCAATTGTTCAATTATAAATTATTCAGGTGATGTGGACTTTTCTGTTTTGGCCAGCATTTATTTCCCATTCCTATTTGAACTTGAGAAACTGTTGGTGAACTGCTAATTTGATCCACTGCAATCTGGTTGGTGCAAGGACACCCAAGATACTCTTTAGGAGGTGAGTTCCATGACGTTGACTCAACAGCCTTATCGGAATTGAAATATAGTTTCTGGTCAGGATGGTGAATGGCTCGGCGAAGATCGTGAAGCTGGCAGTGTTCTGATGTGTCTGCTACCCATCTGCTTTCAGATGAGACTGGGCACAGGTTTGGAACATGCTGTTGAAAGACTCCTGGTGAATTTCAGCAAAAAGGAGATGTCTAAGTAACCTTGTATTTCCAGCAATGCACAACTTTACTGACATGGATTCTACAGCCCATTTTGCATTTGGCTGCATTTACATATCTTTGAAGCCCAAGGGGTTCAGGGCAGTGGGGAGCTCAACTATTGTTCAAATGGTGGGGAAGCCAAAAAGAGACGTGGAACAAACCGCTGCCCACAATTACAGATGTTTCTTTAAATATTGGAAAATATATAAGGAAGCCAAAGATAAATCGTGGATTGTTAATGAACTGTATGTGGTAGAGCAAAACAGATGTTTTAGCCTGGATTTCACCAGCAAATCAGCAATAGGAAGAATTCATAGTTGGTCTACTAGTGTAGAATTATAAAGCCATATATGAAATAGAGACAGAAGTATGTCGTTTGGCCCCTTGACTTTACTCTGTCATTAATAGGATTATGACTGACCTGACACTACTTATATCCACTTTGCCTCTCTTTCCCTGTAACTCTTGATTCCCCTACTGATCAGGAATTTATCTATCTCAGCCTTAAAGAAACACAAGTGTTCTTCCCAACAGCTCTCTGTGGCAAGGATTTCCAAAGACTCACACTCCTCAGAGAGAAGAAAGTGCTCCTCATCTCAATTTTAAAATGGCACTCCTTAATACTGAGACTATGCCATTTGTTCCAATAGTCTCTCAAGAGGGGAATTTGGGCAAGGATAGGCCACTTGATCCTTAATGGTTATTCTGCTATTCTGTCAGAACATGGCTAATCTGTTTACTGTCAAAAACATAGGTAATACCGCAAACAAGCTATAAATAAGAAAATAGAAGTAAGGGAGTAACTCAGGGAAATTACAATCAGTGAAAACAAAATACTGAATAAATGGTTGAGACTACAAAGTGGTAATTGCCCAGTTCCTGATGAACAACATCCCAGCATCACACTGTACCAATCACTCTGTAATGGTTTATTGAATCATACCCATTTACCACAATGTATGCATTCAACACATTATTCTTTCTATGAATGCTACATATACTCAACTACTGTGCCTTTAAATCAGTGTTTTTTTAACATTACATTCCATTTTGATTCAACTTCATGCTTGTCGTTATGTCATTTTTCATCTAAACTTACTTACTCCTCTTCTAGGCCTTTTTAACAGGTTTCTTTTCTTAGCGTATCTCCTTGAGAGGATGTGAGTCTTGATCTTGCCAAAGTGCAACCCGTCCAACTTATAGAGTTCTCACCTGCCACAAATAATGTTAAAAAGCCTCAGAAATCTAACGCCTTCCCTGCTGCGCCAGTTTTCCATCCACATACCAATCACTTAACTATCCTGTCTTTGTGCTCTTGAGTGCATTGTATTGAGTGCAAGCCCATTTACCACTTTGGAAATTATATTTTTCATTCTCCTTGCTAGGTCCCTGAAATCTGTGTTGTGGGTTTCACTCATTTTCCTACACAAGTTCTTCAGTCTTGCGACAATTGGAGATAGTGTGGAAAATGTTGATGACAAAGATGTAGAGGGAAAAAATAATGCCATATCTGAACATGTGTAGGGTTGGTGACTTGACAGGCCTGGATGAACTGCATCTCAGTTTTCTCTGGCAAATGATGGTGGACATACAGACAGGAAATGCGTTGTTCTTTCAGTCTTGCCTAGATACACGTGTGAGTCAATAAAAATTGTCAGAAGAAAATCTAACTCCCCACTGAAACAAGAGTGAAAAGGATAGTCTTAGAGATTATAGGACAGTATGTCTAAATACCAAGAATTTGGAATCCATTAACTGGGAAGGGAAGTTATATGGCACTTGTTTTAAGATAATCAAATGGCGCCAGAAAGAATTTGTAAAGTGAAAATTGTATTTGATTGATCTAATTTATATTTTTGATGGAACAGTAGAAGAATTTGATTAATAAAATGGAGTGGGCATTGCTCAAAGGGATAACTGGAAGGCACCTCAAAAAGTTTGCACATCAAAGACTGATTAACAAAAGTGATGTTTATGAAATGGCATGCCATGGTGCAATGGATTTTCTGAAATGCTACAAGGTTCAGCCATCATATTTTTATTCCCTACAAACAGCACAGAAAGTTTTTTTTTAACTTCCCCAGAAATCAAGCACTATGTCAAGTCCCTAAACAAAAAGTGGACCTCTTCTAGAGTGGGCCTTGGGATATGTGGCTTCAATTACATGGTGGTGACAATTAGTTTCAGAAGTTATTGATCAGCAACAAAGGCTGGCCTCCCATAAGCAACATCTTAAAGAAAGCAGTTTATTATACTGACATAGCAAGTAATTAGAAAAGTAAACTTTTCTAACTGTCGGAGCATGTATCGTTGTATTTTAGATGAATAAAAGCCGACTGGATTGAAGTGCAGAAAATTCCAAGGGCTTATGACAAAATGGATCTCATTGAAAAATCTTTCACTCGGTGTCACAATTTAAGAAAAAATAAAGGTGCCACCCATTTGCAACAGGCATGAGCAGTAGCGTTTTCTTTTCTCATGATGGGTTGTGAGTCTTTCTCATTTCTCAAAAGATAATGGAAACAGAACAGAATGAGGAAGGGCGAATGAAAGATTATTTCATACAGTTGGGAAAGGTGAAATTATTGGATGAAACCTGGAAGTTACTAAATATTTCCAACTGTCTCATTTTCCCTGTTCAAAGCATTGTTTTGAACCTCCTTTGACATGAGTTTGATCAGCTGTCCTACTTTCTTCATGTTCCAGCAGCATGATTGTTTATCAGCTACAAATTGTGTGTTTTTTTAAATCATGCACAGAAGAGGGCATCTCTGGCCTGGCCATCAAATTCTACCATCTGCTGATTTGAATTCAGCCTCAGAGAAGTACTCAGGTTTCTGCATTGGTAGTCTAGCGATGATGCCACCAGGCCATCTCCTACCCAAATAATGGTCCTTAAGCTGAAGGGGCAATTAAGGACGGTCATGATGCAGGTATTGCAAGTGATGCTCACATTACAAGGTGAAAAATATAAGGAGTCCGCCTCAGCTATACTCACTGATGTTCAGACCCACAAATTCTTCAAGATTCACCTAACGTTCATTGTCTCTCTGGGCTCTGCCTTCCATCCTGTCTCAACTCCCCTCTCTTCAGACACAATGCCCAACAAAATTAGAATGCAAGTTGAACCCTCCACTCACTCTGATGTATTTTTCCATATCCCATGTGAGGTTGGCCTCTCTAGAAACAGGACCCTGATAGGAAACATTGGAAATGGAAGTAAAACCTGTTTCGGTGCTCAAGATCTATGTGTGGCAGTGCTGTTAGGTGCACAGCTCTGAGTGGGTGGAACTCAGAGAACATCTGGAGCTCGCTGCCCCCCCACACCCCATCCTTCCCTAAAGGGCAGCATTGAACCAGAAATTGCCACTTCCCACCCGAATAATTAACAGTGGTTTCAGGGTCAACATGAGGCTCTTCATTCTTGATTTCTATTGAATTCAAATTCCACCATCTACTGATTTGAACCCAGGGTCTCCAGATCAGTATCTGATAGTTTACCAAGATACCACTAGGCCATCTCCTCAACAAGCAATGTCCCTTAAGCAGAAGGGGCAAGTTAGAACGCTCACAATGCAGGAACTGCAAGTGACACCTATATTGCAAGGTGAAAAATTTAAGGAAGCTGGCTCAGGTACATTCACTGATATCCAGACCCAGCAAATTTTCAAAGCTCACCTAACATTCATCATCCCTCTCGTGATCTTTGACCTCCATCAAACCACCCCCAACCCCTAACCAAGCCAACGCCCAAACAAACCCAACCAACTTGAACCCTCCACTCAATCCGATATATTTTTCCAGATTGCTTGTGACATTTGCATGCCCTGAAGATGGTCCCTTATGGGAAACATTGGAAATGGTCAGGATCTATGCGTGGCACTGAGACTGGATGT